TGCTATTGTGAACAAAGCCACAATAAACATGGGTGTGCATATATCTGCCTGGGTGGCAGTTATGGTTTCTTTAGGGTATATTCCCAGTAGTGAAACTGCTGAGTCAAATAGTATTTCTATTTGCAACTTTTTGAGAAAGGCCATACAGCTTTCCATAGTTGTTGCACCATTTTACACTGCGGTCCTTATTGTTAAAGTACTCAAAGTATCTAAGATGAAGTCTCACCATCTTCACCTTTTTTTTTTTTTACTTGTTGTGTGCCGTCAAATTGGATCTGACTGGCACAGGAAGAGATTGCCCCTTCTCCAGTGTAGCATCTGATGGACTTGAACCAAATGCCTTCAGGATTGCAGCACAGCTTTTTGCCACTAGCCACCACAGCTCCCTTCCATCCTCACTTTTTTTTAAATCTTATTAACAGTATTGATTTATCTTTCCTCAGTCAAACCCTGAGCTAATCACTTTGCCCAGTATGACTGGGGAGATACAGGGAAAGGAACACACAGGGTAGATGAGACATGAGGGGAGAAAATCAACAGACTATGAGAGGTGGAGATGGCTCCTTCACGTGGCGAAGAGGATCAGAAAAGCCACCATCAGGCAAAAGCGCCCATGGCCTCTGAGAGGGCACAGCCCAGAATGGCGCAGGAGAAGAGCCGCTGCTTCAGAGAAGGATTCCTGGCATAACCAATGATGAGGCTCCCAAACACAGTCCCCATCCCAGCTCCAGAGCCAGCCACTCCAACCGTGGCAGCTCCCGCCCCAATGAACTTGGCTGCTGTGTCAACATCCCTTGAGATATGCTGGTTTGGAAGCTGTGACTAGGGATAAATGATACCAAGGAACGTGGGACTGTCAAGCAGCTGAAGTTCTCATCTCTCAGTGTCTCTGTTTCAGGATCACTGCAGACAATGGACGGCTCAGCAGCTGAGAGGCACTACTGACCTGGGAAGGGGTGGAGACAAACTTAGCGCAGGGATACATTTTCAGGGCTTGAGGGGCTGTGGCAGGAAAGCTGCTCCTAGTGCAGAGAAGCCCCATCTTCACTTTTAAGAAGCACTAATTGTGGCTAAACTTCTTCTAAGGAATACTTGTTCTTTCTTTTGGCGATCCATAGTGTCAACACCTTTGTCAACCAGTTCAAATGTGTCATTTCTCCTTTGGTCTTGCTTATTCATTGTCCACCTTTCACATGCATATGACGTGAGGGAAAATACCATGAATTGGGTCAGGATCATCTTGCATCCTGTATGGAGAGAATACAACCCTAGCGTACTCCCTTCCCAGTTCCAAACCATGCAGTGCTCTCCTGCCCCATTCGCACAACAGCCTCCTGCTCCAGGTATAGCTTCCTCATGAGCACAATCAAGCGCTCTGGGATTTCCATTCTTCTCAGTGTCAGCCACAGCTTGTCATGATCCGCACAGTCAAACACCTTTGCATTGTCAATAAAACACAAATTGACATTCTTCTGGTATTCCTTTCTTTCAGCCAGGATCCATCTGACATCAGCAATGATATCCCTGGTGCCATGGCCTCTTCTAAATCCTGCTAGAACTTCTGGAAATTCCCTATCGGTTAGGACTGTAGAGCCCTTTCCTTCCTATTCCAGAATGGCTACTGAGAGATCCAATCACAGGAAGCAGCAGTTGTGCTTTTTCTCTCTGTAAAACTACCCCCTTTTTCCCTGGAGTAGTTATCTGAGACCCCAGCGCACTCCCCTATCTTGAAGAAAGCATCGGTAAGCATCCCGTTCCCCAAGTCCCTTGTAAGAACGTATAAAATCCCCTTCTAACTCAGTGGAGGCTAGTCTTCTGTTTGAGAGCCAGCCTGGAAATTTCTCCTCAATAAACTAT